TCCTGAAAGAAAGTAAGCAATAATTCGGTACAGCTGATAATAACCTTTATTTAACATGTGAAATTAATGAATGAAATGAGTGATTTTCCTCATCAATTTTAATATGGGATGGTGTGAGAATGGAAGAAATTTGAAGTGAAATGATAGAGATGAAAGTTGTTACCATCTGGTTGCAACATCATTCATTTCTTTACTTCACCGATCCATCCGATCGGTATGGTATGGGAGTATGGAAGATGAGAGAGATTAATAGCTTTTAGCTTTTTAGGAGTATGACTCATCGATTAGCTGCAAGAAAAGGAACCAAAAGAGACTTGTAAGAAAAAGTTTTTCTTTTTGAATAAACGAAAAAGTTGATATATGAAAGACTAAGACTTTTTCGTTACTTCAGTTTGATCTAGAGTTTATTGTACTTTATGACCTCCAATCTTTTTCTTTCTTTCTCTCTCTCTCTCTCTCTCTCTCTCTACGTCATCTTTTATTCATATACTATTTTCATATCATTGTTTTTTTCCTTTTTACAAAAATAATTTTTGTATTGCATAATTTTTGTTGTGCTTTTTTCCGCTTTTCATTCTCCGCACTCCGCTTTCCGCCCTATCAATGTTCTCTTTCCGCACTGTAAGTTTTTTTTTACAATTTAGGGAGAAGAATGATTGAAGACAGAGATTATCTCTGTTGATATCTTTCTGCCTCTATCAATACATTTATTTACCGTTGAAATTGTCTTTCACATTTTTAAACTTACAATTTTTCCGCTTCGTTCACACCTTTTTCATTATTGGATTATTCTCTATGATAACCTTTTATCTTATTATCATCATTCGATCAATCTTTCATGTAATTATCTCTCTTCCTTAATAAAAAATATATAAAATATGCAATTTAGCAAAGTTTGTTTTCACTGATATCGGTATCATTAGTAAGCCTTTTTGAGAGTATGAATATTTTCACAGATTAATTATTATCATATCTATAATTATGTTTAATCTATTAAATAAATTATCAATAAGAGGGATGACAAAATGTAATTTTATTTGTAATTTTATACTTTAAATTAAAGATTAACAGAGATAATTATATCATTATTCACGAGCATTTTTCTTTCGTTTTTTCCCCTTTTGTCTTTTACTAATAATAGAGAATTTCGACAAAAAATTGTGCTAAAATTTTCGCTTACCTTTATTTTACTTTTCAAATTTGTGAAAAATCTTCACATTGTCATTTGCATAAAAAAGAAGAAAAAAAACTGCATCATATTTGAGTGATGTATTTGTTGAAAAGATTTTTTGCGTGAATAAATAAATACTTTGACATTAATTTGACAATTTAGTTATAAAAGTAATGTTAGTGATGGTAGTAGTGGTGATGATGGTGATGATGATGGTGGTAATGTTGTATTTATTGAAAAGTTAGTTTAGTTTATTTTTCAGCTAAAATAAAAGCATTCATGTTTGGTCCATTTGTTGTCATCATTGCTACCAGCATTGTCAGTATTGCCACCGCTACCGACATTACCAACCAATAACACATATGTGTGTGTATGTGTGTGTGTGTGTGTGTGTGTGTGTGTGTGTGTGTGTGTGTGTGTGTGTGTGTGTGTGTGTGGGAGTGTGTGTGGGAGTGTGTGTGGGAGTGTGTGGGAGTGTGTATACCTCACCTCGAATATAGGAGGGGAGGAAGGGCGGGGATAAAGCGGGAAAAAAATGGGTGTGGGGTGTGGGTGGATGGAAGAAGTGCGGGTGGGTGCGGGTGCGGGTGCGGGTGCGGGAACGGGGTAAGATGGGATGGGATGGGATGGGGAAGGAGCAGAAGACGGATGAACGAACGAACGGAACATTTGGAAGTGAGGAGCCGGTTTTTTTTATGTTTATAATGGTGTGATATGGTTCACTCGGTGTGATACATTCAGGCGCTATTCACTCTTTTATTATTAGACAGTCCTAATTTGCTTGTTAGGCTTATATATGCCGGTTTTCTTATATTCACGTAATATACCGGTAGGATCGCGTGAACCAATGAATTCCGTAGCTATCAGATAGAAAGGTGTGAAAATTACCCGAGAGAATGAATGATATTATGCATATTTTACGCAGTTATAAGCAATATAATTAGAGTAATATTTTAATTATAATTTTAATATATGCTGTTTTTTTATACAACAACTTTTGTTTTGTTTTCTTTTTTAAAATCAAAAATTTTCATTATCAGATGTTAATGACAGAAATAATTTTTCTTTTCAAACTTAAATTTACTTCCGGGTATGGTATATGATTGGATATGATGATTACTTCTTCATTAAAAGAAGCATCAACTTTACACATAAATTTCAAAACTTCTCTCCAAAAAATGAACGGGGACATTTATGAGTTTCGGAAATAAAATATCTATGCGCTTATAGCATTAAATAGCCTTTCTCGTTTTAGTTTTATTTCTGCGCTCTTTTCAAAAAATCTTCCAAAATAGCTTCCTCTCATTTTCTTCTTCCGTTATTCGCAAATTTCTGTATTTTTGTGACATTCACAATTTCTTCTTTTTCTCCTTCCATATTTTTCAATTCACATTTCATACATATTTTTTGCTATTGACTTGTATGTTGCAAGCTCTTCTACAAAAAAAAAAAAAAGAAAAACAAATTTTTTCCGTTACATTTATGCTAACAGTGCTTCCTTACACTTAAACGAAATTTACCAAAAAAATGGAGTAATTAATAATGAAAGTTATTTAAAAAGTAATCTTACTTTTATTTACTTAAATATTACAGTAAAATAGAAAATAAGAATGAAAGTTTGTTATTTCAATTTATTCCACAATATTAGCATTACTACTGTTCGGTAAGCAAAAAGCATATCTTAAAAGCAGGTGCTATTTATGCGTGCGCATTTGTTTATTTGCATAAATGTCGTAGCAACAACTCTTACTTTTTCCATCCTTTTTTCTTTTTTTTTTTTTGCTTTCAACTAATTTCATATTCTCTGCTTTAAATGTACCGTTTGCTAAAAGTGATATTTGAGAGGGAAGAAAGAAATAATAATCAGTTGGATGGGATTATAGAAGAATAGAATAATGGAAATTAATCGAAAATCAAAATATTAGAAATCATTGTTTTTGGAGTTTTTTCCCTGTATACCACAATAATATGATCATTAAAATAGGCCAGAAAATTTTAGATATTTTAACCGACTTTTTTTGCTATTTTTTTTAATATTTAAGATTTCCGAAAATTTTTGTTCATATTTGTTCAGTGTGAGTAAAAATTTTAAAAAATTAAATTAGCTAATTGTTTTGTTTTACCGATACTTCTCATATATTTATTTTTCTTATTGATAAGATTTTTTAAAATTTTCTTTCCTGAATTTTTTCATTCAGGAAAATGCAGTAGCCGAAAGAAATTGTTGATTTAAACGGAGCTCATTTGGGCCTCATTGAAGTAAATATATAATTGGCCAAAAATGAATAGCCAAAAGAGAGTAATGATTGGAAGATTGATATGTAACTGATATTTGCTTTCGATTACAATGCTATTTTTCAAAGGAATTCTGCCAAATTTTCAAATAATACCTCCATTCTTCCTTATCAGTATTCAATAATAATAATAAATCAGTTAATATATTATGACGTATAGGAGAGAGAGGGAGAGAAAAGAAAGGATGAAATAGGTTGCAATAGTAAATGATGTAAACGTTTGTTACCGATATCTCGTGCAACTCATAAACAATTGTTAAAATGGTTTTTATCAGTGATGTCAATATTAATTAACTTTTATTGGAAATGTAATCATCTCTTTCTCTTTTATCATCTCATTTTTTTCCATAATATTTTTTTTTCATTTTCATTTTCATAAGCATTGGCGTATAATCTTGTTTTTGTTGGATGACAAACGAGTGATAATGAAGTTATAGAGTGATAAATAATATAACAAATATGATAGTGATAGGAAAAAATTGTTATTTTTAGTTGATTGTTGATGATTATTATTAGAGTGCTACCTTGTTGATTTACTTTTTTCTTTCATTGTTTTGCAGATATGAGAATAAAACAAACAAAATTACTCATTCATTGTCTGTCATCTATCCCTTTCAAAACAAAAATTATTTGATATTTGTTAGTACGACATTCTTACCATCCTTTTCAATTCATCCATCATAATTTTATACGATTTTTATTTTTTTTGTTTTGTTTTTCTCTGCTATCACATTTTATCAAATAGAGATTGGATAAAAACTGACAAACAACATTTGATTCAGTTCAGAATTTATGATTAATTTAAATATTTGAGATTTATATTCAGAAATTGGATTAATTTTAGGTGTTTATTTCATGATTAAATATAAACAGCTAAAATTGGATTGCTTGAGATCAAGTAGATTTTATTATCAAAGAGGCTCTTCTTTAAAAATGTTTCTTAGAGAAATATGACACGGAAGAAATTGTTAAACAAATCTATCCATTTTAATAATTGTATAATTAATTTATAATTAGTAATGATTTTATCCTTCTTGTTACCCGTAAAGATACAAAAAAAAGTTTTTAAATGTGAAAAGGAGCATACCAACTTAATATTATTGATAGTAATTTGCTGTATCACTTATTTCAATTTGTATTTTATTACTCTTTTTTATATTTATTCTTATAGTCATTGCATATGAACATATGAACACTTCAATGTTAACTAAATATTAACTTGACAATTGTGTGACGTAGATCAAAAATCTATTTTAAAGAGAACATCAAAGTACGATATTATTTGTTTATTATTGTGTAAAAATATTCATAGACATTGATTACTTTTTTCATTTACAATTCATGCGTTATATAATTCGTATAAGAATTACTTCTTAAATTAATTGTTAATTTTATTATAGATTTTACTCAGTCATAGTGGTCATCAGCTAACCACGATAAATAAAAGTATTTTATTGCTAATGTTTTCGGATTTGAGTTATTTCATTACTTATCATCAATAATCACAATTACTGTTGCGAGCTGATCATTATAAAATGCCAGCAAATGATGGGGCACAACGAAAGCTGTTATCATCATCATCATCATCATCCCAACAGCAAGCGGAAATGTCACTACAACAGCAACAATTTGATACTTCTTCAGTTGATGCTAGCGGTACTGTTTCAGCAACACCAACAACAACTCCTAGCAATTTGAATGCTGAATTTTTTCATTGCCTGACACAAAATCTGTTAGCAACAACAGCAGCAGGTACCAGCAGACAACCGCAAGCAATTGATACCGCAACTACCGGAGCTTCGGTTGCTGCTGCTGCATTTGGATTGCCTATACCGAATGTATCAATGATGTACGGCAACGTTAACCTGTACAACCTTTTCAATCTTAATTTGTTAACTGAACCACAGCAAAACCATCAGCAATCATCATCTCTCCTCACCGAATACCTCAGGCAACGAACTATGGAAGCAAACGTTCGGCAACATCAGCAACAACGACAACAGCAACAGCAACGACAACAGCGTCCTTTGAAAGAAAAGAAACGTGTATGTAAAATTTTCAAAAAAATGCAAAAATTTTTTTTTTAAATTGCTGAGAAAAAGATATATTTGATTGTGATTTTTAATCTTAGATAAAATAGCTAATTATTTATAAGATATATAAATTTGACATATATATCTAATATCATTTCCTATTTACAAAAAAAAAAAATTCATAACGACCATCTAAGACAAATTATATCTTAGCCAATTTAAAGATCAAAATTGAATCGGAATGATTTCTTTTGTCCCTGAACAACACTTCAGAAATTTTATCTCATCACTATAATGGAATTGATCAGTGGATCAGTGTTATATTATAAATGATCAGATCTTATCCATTATCGCATATAATTCTTATGTAGAATTGATACATTTTTTTAAAATGCTAAATCAAATGATATTTCATTTAACAATATCTCTCTTATTTATTCTTTATCAAATTTATGGAGAAATTTACAAACTATTGATCAAAATAATAAATTGTTCAATTGCACTAACATTTTTACAGTTTGTATTTCTATATTTTAACTTTAAATTAGTAATTATTACATTTGATTAATTCAAAAGTATTATTTTGAATCTTTCAAGTTTGCGTTTTATTTGTTATCGGCAAATATGAGGACTATATAGCGTGCAGAGCAGACCTGTCCTCATGCAATTTTTTAGATAATTTTATAGTTTATATAAGAGACAGTGTTTGTTATGCTCTCCGTATGGTCCTTAATGCCGTAAACTTTTTCAGAGCTATCCCTGCAGTTTTCAGTGGTGTGAATTGTGTCTGAGAGAAGTACATAGTTCGAAACTACCATGTCATATAAGGCAACATCATGTGGCACAACCGATGTTTATTTGTCCACAATGCAAATTTAGCTCGAGCTACTCGAAGAACAATGTCAAAAGTCATATGTCAACAGTACATGGTTTAACTGTAATTTTTCATTCTCTTTTCAGTTTCCATTTATTTCTAAACTTCTTAACCATTTTTATTATCACTAAGATTGTCATAATAAGCCTAGTGATAATAAAACTATTTATACTTCTCAACCATTTTTATTATCACCAGGATTGTCAAAATTTATCGTTGACTTTTTAACCTGCTCTATTTTAATTCCTCCGTTTTTTTTTTACCATTCATATATTACGTAATAAAATTATCAGAAATGAATTTTATTAATTCAATAAAAGTGGAAATAGTGTAGAAAATGAAGATCATTCACAATTTCATTGTTTTCAATACGCACTTTTAATGAACTTTGAATAATCAAATTTGAATGAAATGCACGAAATTGATGCGGTATGTTTGTTTGGAATCATCATTTTGCAAAAATAAAATGAAACTTTTTAGTGGTAATGTTTGTTCGATGGTATCAAAAATATTTTGCGATATGATCGATTCATGATCATCGTTGTTAACAAGCTATTTCATTAATAGAATTTTTATAGCTAAAATTTATAAAAATCATTCTTGTAAAATATATTATCACTAAGCGAATTATTTCATGTTTTTTTCCAGGAAGAACCAATTAGTCATATGGAAGAATATGCAGATGAAGTGGAACAATTGATGAAACGATGTTTCCCGACCGTTCGAGGTCGTGGTCGTCCGGTACACAGTAATATTCGACCATCAACTGATTCTTCATCTTCAACAGTTAATACGGAATCCAATAATAACTCAAGACGGAATAGCGCTAGCTCCATAACATCAGTCAGTAAAATCTCGGTGTGATCATTTTGAATATGCTAATTTTGTGAGGGAAATTCGAAATTTCTTACCCTAATCCATTTATTTCAACAATCATTTCATCTTATAAGTCTGAAAAGATGAGTAAAGTTCAAAAATATTTAAATAAACTTATATATTATAGGCCCGATACACACATAGTTATCGCCGTAGGGGTATCAAACAACCGGTGCAGGAAATAACCCATGAACTTTATTCACCGGTCAGCAATAAACGGGTCAAGAATGAAAACAGTTACGAGAAGTAAGTTTACCTGTACAAAGCTACAAAGCTATATCTATCAGTTTTACATATATTATTATTATTCCTTCTTTTTTTGAAATATCACTATTTGTAGCGAATCGGAAACAACTGTCAGTCAAACGCCGATCGATGCTTCCGGTCAGAGTTCACCAAGCGAGGTATACAAACTTTATTCAGCAAAGTTTATTTTTTTTTCAAATATTTTATTCGCAAATATTTATTCTTAATTTCCGCTCTTGATCTGTTTTAACTCTTTTCTGATCTATTTTAGATTTCGTTCTTGATCTGTTTTACCTCCTTTCCTGATCTATTTTAATTTCTGTTCTTAAGTTCACCAATATTCTTAAATCAAGACTACTGTAACAGGGTAGTTTGCTCATCTGTTTCTTTTGGTTTTCTGCAATATTCTATGGCCATTGTTAGTTATGATATCGGAAAGATTCTGTGACTCAGTGCGGTTATCTGTTGGTCATTGGCTCTCTATGTTTCTCTGCTGCTTATTCCATCAATACTAAGAAAGAGAGAGAGAGAGAGAGAGAGGGAGCATGTTCGTTATGTGTATCCGAAAGGCATGTTAATCTGCAAAATTATTGAGAGTTATGGAAAATAAATTTTTGAGGGTGATATTTTAAAGTAAACAATAATAAATAATAAAAATTTTTAAAGCGAACAATAATTTAAAATAAACAATTTTAATTTCATCTCAGGAGGATTCTTCAAGTACTAGCAATGTTCCGCATTGTGGCATCAAAGACAATTACAGCAAGAATATCGGTTACAATCGCGGGACTAATAGCTACTACGATCATAATGAAACAAATGGTTATAATGATGAGGTCGAAAAGTATAGATCATCATCATCCACTGTTTATCAAAATGGAACTGATCAAAGTGAAACAATTGCTAATGACAGTTCACCAAGTTCATCAGAGCATGTCAATCATGATGCGGAATTAGGTACAATTATGATGATTTATTATTCATTTTCATTAGTTACATTTAAAAGTATTGCATAAATTAATCCATATATTTAAATCAAAAGCATGAAGAGTTAATTGACCATCTAATAGGTTAGTAATTAAGTAGCATCGCAAAATTTTTGATATTTTTAATTTTAAATTGCTACGCAATAAAATTTCATGATAGAGTAGTCATTGCAGAGACAGAATCAAATGATTCAAGTGTTCATGATTTTGATGAAGAAGAACAACCGTTGGGGCATATCGATCATATTCATCCTCGGTATACCTTAAATCGAACTTCATCATCATTATGTAATAATGAATATTTAAAAAATTAAATTTTCAAATATTGAATAACTTGAAAGTTTTAAATTTAAAATTTTAATTCTAAATTGATATTTCTCGTTGAGACATTGAGAACTAAATAGCTTTTTTCTTCAGCTATTTTCCACAAAATGTTAACTGGTGGATATTGGCTAACGATCAGCTTAAAGGAACTATATTTGAAAGTTTTCGATTAAATGAAGTACTTCATGTATGTTGTTTACTATTTATTTTCTATTTTTTTTTACTTACATATTTCAAAAATAAATGTTAACTTTTTCAATAAAATTCATTATAGTTTAGTTGCTTCAGTACAGCTGTTATTTCAGAGATTTCCACGACAGTCGCATAAACTAGGCGGTAAATTTTTTTTAACAGAAGAACAATTTAGACGGGTGCAAGAGGTCAGGCAACAACTATCTCTTGATTTGACAAAACTTCGTGATGCACTGTACAAGTATGACGTAGTCTTTTACTTTGAAATTTACAAATTTTTCAATCTTGTATAACATTGATATTTCTCGTTAACAATCCCTGAGAATTTTTTATAGACAATCTATATCTATCTGTTAATGATAGCTGTAGCTCAAAAGTTGATCCTATTCAAAGAATGAAACTTCTTTTCTTTTACTTCTTTTAAATGGATGATTGGTACGGTTATTAGATATATCTATTCAACCGATTCCATCACTAGTGACCATGCAGTGGCCAGTGGGTTGTTCTGTTGATGTCGTGAAAGTTTTTTTTTTGTTAGCTTTATTCTAATAGATTCTTATGAGGTATTCAGTAGAGGGATTGCAACTCTGTACTTGTTGAAATGTTGGTCCTTTAATTATGAAATAAGAGTTGAGTCCTATTCCAATGTGGTTGGTTGAAGCAGAAGAACGATGTGAAAATACGCGTTGAATTGTACTTCACTGCGAGTGAAACCCACTCAAACTTGGGTAATTAAACCCATAGCAA